TGTCTTTTGTGTTCAGAAGTTTTGGGCAGTTTTCTTGTATTATTTCTTGCATTATGGTGTTCAGCTAAGCATCCTGTCTTCAAGATCAGTATGTTTTGCTTGTATGGAGAACATGTTTTCTTTTAACATTGTTGCTTTTCCCTTCTCTTTTTCAAGATTGTGTTTCACTTCTGTGTATTTGCATTCCTAGTCAATTGTTCTCTTTTGTTTCTTTGGAGAGACTCTCCATCATGGATTCAAATTTTCTATTATGCCAATTATTTTTGCTATGCAAACCTTTTACAATTTTTACTTCTTTCTTAAACAATTCAGGAACATACTGTTTTCCTTCTATGCTGCCTTGAGAATTTACGAGATCTTTTGCTTCATCAGATCCTGATTCATTTTCTTTTGTCTTACAATATTCATTCATACATGTTTTGTCTTGTTTAAATATCTTGGTGCCTAAAAATCTTGGTATCTTTTCTTCTCAATAAAGTTAGTAAACATTTATTAATCACCTACTGTGAGCTAGGTACTGTTTTAAATGCTGGTAATACAAACTAGAGCATGATGGTTTCTGCCTTCAAGGAGCTCATAATCTTATGGGTGAAGGCAAGACATAAAAAAAAAGCTGAAAAGTGTGTAGGGTTGGATAGGCAAAGGTAGAAGTTACCCAACAAAAGGGGCATGATGAAAGCCTACAGCAGGTGTAAGAGATGATCTGAGGAGGTGAGAGTTTCAAAGTTGATTTCATCTTGCAGAATAATGAGTTTCTGGAGATCGTGAAATCCAGGAGAGCAGCCAGTTTGGAAATAATCAGGGGAATTTCCAGAGAGCCCCCCTTATATGGTGGAAGATCTAAAAGGAGATTTCTAACTTTCACCCTCCATTCTCTCTAATCAGAGGAAAGAAGGGGCCCAAGTGGCCTGAGCTGCAGACGTCGTATGTTTTAGAGTTTCTTACATTTTAATATGTCTTCTATTGATTTATCTGTTTGTACCCATGTTTTTCAACTGAATTTTCTTCCTCCTGATATCTTTGGAAATTCAGTCTTTTCACTTTTATTCCTGTATCACTCACTTTATTACTCCTGCTTTAATAAAAAATTTCCTGACGGTTGGACCTCAAACTATTTGAACCTCCTTTCATCTTGGGAAACCTGCTTTTCAACAGCCTTGGTCCCTGCCCCAAGTAATTTCAGGGGGATAGAATTGGCATTATCTGGATGCCAGTCCCCTTTCCTTCTGGTCTGGTGCAATCCTGCACAAATACTGGCATTCTGCCCCAGTTCCCACTGAATGGAAATAAGTTGATAGATTTGGGTGGGTCACATGGGTAGAAAGAAGCAGATAACCAATAATAGCAGAGTTTATTTACTCCCACTTGCAATCAATCCAGTGATTATCAGGAACATTTTCTTTGAGAATCTTTTAGAAGTATCTTTCCCATGTCTAATTTTTATTGTCATTAATTATTACTACTAATAATAGTGAACGTTTAAATAGCACTTTAAGGTTTGCAAGGCATTTTTACAAATATCTACTTTATCCTCTGAGCAACCCAGTGAGGTAGATGCTATTATTATCCCAATTTTATGGAAGAGGAAACTGAAGCTCAGTTGCCTAAGTTACCTGCCTAGTCACCACACAACTGGTGTCAGAGGCCTGATTTGAACTTGTCTTCCTGACTGTGTCACTTAGCTGCCTTATTGCTAAAAATAAAACTCCTTAGACTAATTAGAGGTTCTTAACTTGTAGTCCATGATTTAAAAATATATAGAGAGCTATAGATACATCTCTATATCTATAAACAAAGGTGTATAGAGATAGCTATATTTTAATATAATCTATTTCCTTTTTAATCCTATGTAATTTATTTCATGCATTTAACAACATTATTCTGAAAAGTCCATAAGCTTTATCAGACTGCCAAAGGAGTCCATGACACAAAAAAAGGTTGAGAATCACGACACAAGAGATTCGTGCTTCCTTTAGGGATAAAAGGCTGAATATGGGTTCCTGCAACAGAGAACTGGGCCTTGTTTAGAAGAAATAAGTGGTAGCAACAAAATGTAAATCAGGCAGATGGGTCCTGCTTGGCCTTGGTAATGAAAAGAAGTAGAAATGGGAGCAGTTCCAAGGCCAAAATTATCTCCAGGAAGTTATATTGGTTGGTATCTGTCCTAATACTGAAATTCAGGTCTGCCACATCTATCATTAAGCCACTTTTAGATCTTCATATCCTGTATTCAGCTTGATATGAATCCTGTGCAATACTGTTCAATATTAACCAATCAACAATATTTATTAAGAACATACTAAGTGCCAAATCCTATGCTTATCTATTCATCCATCAATCGATAGATTGATCAATAGATATAGGCTCTTGTGGACATTAGAGACTTCAGAATAGGCTCATTTTTTGCCCTCCCTAGAGTCCAAGGGTAGTGCTTCTATGGATCTACTTTGTCCTTTCTCCTTGCTGTTTCAAGGAGCTTATTAATTCTGATGAATGAAATTCTGGGACTCAAACTAGAGGAGACATTTTCCTATCCTGAGGAGACATTTTCCTATTCTATCTTACACTATAGATGTAAGATAGTCACTGTTTCTTACCAACTCCACTTCCGCATGGCATTCATATACAAACAAGTCATCCAAAACATTTCATGCTTGAACATACAGATTCATGAGAATAGTAGGAGGCCAAGTCAAAATGAAAGAACTAAGGTGAAAACATAGCCAAGAAGTCCCTTTAAGGGGCCACCAGCCAATGTCCAGCCAAGGAAAGAGCTAAAAAGCTGCTTACAGATTCTCCCTTCCTCTAGACCACCATGATCTTTTCTCTGCCATCCCCCTTTCTTTTTGCCTTCAGTCTTTCCCAACATCAGGGTCTTTTCCAATGAAGTTGAATACCACTCTCAGAAAACAACTTAATTGCAAAATTCCAAAAAAAGATTTGGGAACAAAGCAGCAAAAAAATGACAGCTTTGGATAATATATCAAAGAGAGGCAACCTTGGAATTATGGGGATCTTAAGAAACATTGAAGAATAGACTCTGATCAGTATACTTTGCCAAACTGGAGAGAAAAAAAACTTTCCAGAATTATCTATAATAAACAGTGCTATACAGGTCAAAAGAATACACAGAATTCCAATAGGAAGAAGCTAAAAAAAATTCAACCCTCATAAATACATTAGGGTCAAATTTCAAAATTGCAATGACAAAGTAAAAGAGTTATTTAACTTTATAAGAGGAAGAAATAATTACTATTAATGAAAAATGATATTAATATTGTATTCTGTGTCTTAGGCACATCTGCTAGAAATTTTTTTTACTGAATTAGCTGTTGCTTTAACTAGCCAAGTTAGGTGGCACAGTGGATAGAGCCCTGGCCCTGAAGTCAGGAGGACCTGAGTTCAAATCCGGCCTCAGACCAAACACTTGACACTTACTAGCTATGTGACCCTGACCAAGTTACTTAATCCCAATTGCCTAAAAAAAAAATAGCCAAGCACTTCCAGCCTAGTGAGAGAAATGTACAAACTGTCATAATCTGCCTATGCCCTCAGACATTTCTTCCCACAGCATGATATAATATTTATAGGAATCTTAAACTATGAAAACATCATAACAGATACAATTTAGGCTAACTTTTCAGAATAGTCTCAATAATTAGTCACTATCCCATACCTTCCCTGACCACTCCCCTCAAGGATTGAAAAAAAGCCTCCTTTCTGTGATCAATATTAGTATCCTTTTTAAAAAGAGAAGGGTAGGTCATAGTATAATTCCCTTAGTGGACAGTGAAAGAAAAGGCTGCCCTGAATTGGGTCAATAGACCAATCACTTCAGAGGGTGAGCGAGGCAATGATCTAAGGTATTCTTTGTTCAGAATATACTTTCTACTCTGAATTAATTTCCTTAAGAAAATTAGAATTTCCTAATTCACCTTTTGGGGAGCAGGATAGACAAATCTGGAAAGGGTTTAGAGCAGGGAAATATTATTTCTCAATATTTCTAGAGAAAAGAAGAAGGGTTTTTGATACACTCCCACATCAGAAGCAAAAAAAAAAAGCATAGCAATCAAGCTGTTCCTAAATTTCCTATGGAAACTAGAATTTACCAGAAAGCTTACAATATGACATATGTAAAATGGAAAACCATAAGGTCACAAGCCCAGAATCAGTTTTTCAGCTACTCTCAGAATGTTGTTTGAAGGCAAAAGATGAGCAATTTAAAAATCAAAAGGATGCTCAAGAACTCATCAGAAGCATATTTTTTCAAAATACCCTTTGAAAGTGAGCAGAAAGCCTAACTGAACTGAATAAATATTTAGAATAATATATATTTTCAACAGAGATTAACCAGCAATTAGCTATATGTAAGAGACTCCCTAGTATTATATTGACTAATTTACTGAATATTATAAAGGGGCATGTGGGATAGAAAAAGTGGGGGTTATGGAGAGAAGTAAAATGAGAGAGGGTAGAAAGAAGAGTGTTGTGTCTCTTACAGGGACCACTTACATTAATGTATAATCACTAAAGCTGGGAAAGAAAGTTGCAATAGAAACAATCTCTTGCTAGGGGAGGAGATTTTGTGTGTGTTTTCTTGTGTATCTATTAAAAGATATCCTTTTATTTTACCAGAAATAAGCTTGAAATTTGATAGTCTACTTGTGCATCTCAAGTATTGGTATAGTATTGTGTAAATTAAGAATGTATTTTGCAAGCCATGTAGAAAAGAATTTACTTTTCCTCACATCACCTTTTCAAATTTCTGTGTGGCTTGGTATCTGTAGCTCTGATTCCAGTAACAAAATTGTAATTTTCTGAAAGGAGGAAGAGCTGTCTTTTTTCATTTTTAGAAAAGTAACTTATTCAAAGCAGAACTTCAAGAAATTTGCCAAACTGATAGAGTTAAAGTAAAATCCATTTTCAGTTCCTTTCCCTATGTCAATGCAATTGCCACTAGCAGTTGCTCGATTTGGAACCTTTCAATCAATCTGTCATGTCTGATGAGAGAAAAAATTGTGCTTCTCTTGTGCTGCTGTGACACACTGTCTTCCAAAAAAGGTAAGTTGTGGACAACAATGAAGAGGAGCTAGGAGGGGAGCCTCCCCAAGAGACATCCAACTCAGAGACTCCTGGATTCTGTAGCCAATAGGAAACAAGATATCAAGAGGTGGAGGGCTAGGTTTTGAGAGGTGAATTAATTCTGTCTTGGAATAAACCCAGAACTTTAGAAGGTTACTGACAGTTGAAAAGAGTAAGATGATAGGATCATTTAGGTGGCACAATGGATAGAGTGCTGGGCCTGGAGTCAGGAAGACTTGAGTTCAAATATGGCCTCAGCCACTTTACTAGCTATGTGACCCTGGGCAAGTCACTTAACCCTGTTTGTCTCGATTTTTTCATCTGTAAAATGAGCTGGAGATGGAAATAGCAGACCACTCCAGTATCTTTGCCCCAAAAAATTCAAATGAGGTCATGAAGAGTTGGACACAGCTGAAATGATTGAACAAAAATAATATGATCACAGATCTAGAGATAAAACGGACCTTAGAGTCCATTGAGTCCAATGCCCTCAATTTACAGATGAGGAAACTGAGACTCAGATGAATTAAGTGACTCGTTTAAGGTCACAAGCCACATTAGCTCAGATTTCTTCACATACAAATAATTGGAAATAGCCAAGATATTAGTGTTCAATGACTCTCTGATAGCACACCTGATTGGGTAAGGCATAAGACTAGATGGATGCATCTCAAAAGTGTTCAGTTGGGGCAGCTAGGTGGTGCGGTGGATGGAGCACCAGCCCTGAAGTCAGGAAGACCTGAGTTCAAATCTGACCTCAGACCAATCCTCTGAAGGATTATACTCAGTTTTGCTGGGTAGGTGATTCATGGTTGTAATCCCATCTCTTTTGCCCTCTGAAATATTATATTCCAAGCCTTCTGTTCCCTTAATGTAGAAGCTGCCACTTACTACCTGTGTGATCCTGGGCAAGCTACTTAACCCCAACCGCCTAAAAAAAAAAAGTGTTCACTCTGTGGAGTGGACATGAGATGGAGGAGCTATAGAAGAGACCCCAGATCAAGGAGGGATTTCTGGTGGATGGTGAGGTCTTCTGTTGTTGTTGTTCAGTCGTTTCAATCACGTCCAACTCTTTGTAATCCCATTCAGGCTTTTCTTGGCAAAGACACTGGAGTGGTTTCCCATTTCCTTCTCCAGCTCACTTTATAGATGAAGAAACTGAGGCAAAACAGGATAAAGTGACTTGCTCAGGGTCACACAGCTAGTAAGTAAGGCTGGATTGGAATTCATGAAGATAAATCTTCCTGATTCTAAGCTTAGTGCTCTATCCATTGTGCAACCTAGCTGCTCCTGAGGTCTTCTAGATGCTCCTATTTTTTGAATTATATTATGTTGAAAGCATTAAATCCCAAGACATAACAATCTCCTCGAAGAGATCTGTACTCACTCAAAGGAGTTTGGCTACTCGATCCACACAGACAAAATGGATGAAGAATGTCTATTTCTCAGATTTCCTAAATCCTAGCTTTCCACACGACTTTAGATGAACCCTATATAGAGCTTGTAGGACAGATAATACAGATTGACAATCATCTAGGCTTAGAGTTGAAAAGCAGGCAAAAAATAGTTTGGATTACTTTCTGGACATTGCAAAGCTTTCTTACTTGTGCAAAACTTCTCATGAAAGCAAAGACCCAACCTTCCGAAATAAACATTTTGCTGGTACTACTATATGACAACACAACCTAGAATTTCACAGCCTCTGTAGAACTAAAGATAAGCATCACACAAAAAGAACAGCAAAGGTGAACTTTGAGCGTTTTAGTGTTTTGAGTGTTCTAACATATAACCAATGAGGAACTCTAAAGGAGGAAAGGATGGCACTAAAAAATTGTATGAGAGTCAGTCAATAAACATTTATTAAGTGTCCAACTAAGCCCCAGGCATGGTGTTCAGTGCTAGGGATTCAAAGAAGTAAAAAAAAAAAAGTCCCTTTTCTTGAGAAGCTCACACTCTACTCATAGGAAGAGAAGATGGGCTGGTTAGGTGGCAAGAGTGAGGGATGACAGGTAAATGGCTGGAATGTTCCAATGCTATCCTCTTGATATCATGAGAAATCAAGGAAGGCCTTCAGAATGTTTGGTGGACCCCTCGTGACAAATTTTTGGGAGAACATGTACAAGAGTTATAGAGGATGGCAAAACATGAGTGGGTTGTAATGGGCATTGTTGCAGGGAACTCCCAAATCAATGAAGTTTTAGATCTATTTCAGTTTTTGAGATTTTTTTTTTTCCTTTTGTTCAGGCACCTAAGTGCCCTAGTGGATTTCGTATGGGACTTGGATCAGGAAGAACTGAGTTCAACTCCTGCCTCAGACACTTTACTAGCTGTATACCCTGAACAAGTCACTTAACCCTATTTATTTCAGTTTCTTCATCTCTAAAATGGAGATTGTAATAACATCTATCTTATAGCAGTTGTGAGAACAAAATGAATTAATGTATGTAAAATGCTTTGTAAACCTTAAAGTGATTTATAAATGCTAGACATTATCTTCATCATTATTTTACGGTGTTGGAAATTCCTAGTGAGGAAGTTTCCTCTACTAGGATAGACCAACAACTCTTCTACAACTCAGTCTTAGCGGCTTGGGACAATGAAAGATCAAGTGACTTCCATAACGTCACACAGCCAGCGTGTCTGATGTAGTACTCAAACCCAGGTCTTTCCAAGTCCAACTTTGTTTCCTCTCCATAGTGTCTCTCTACATAATTACACTTCTTTAGAATTTAAAAAAATATCAACTTACCAACATATGAACTAATTAGCCTCCACTTTGTAATTTAATGCCTCTGATAAAATAAGAATTAAAGGAAAATACAACGGGGAAGTAAAAGTTAAGCACTGTTATTGCTACTTTCTTATCTTACTGTTGCTAATATTAAGTTGCTTTTTCATCACAGGTTCTTTTCACAGATCTGGCTCCTAGTTTTTTGGGTTAAGGTCCCAATTACCCCTTTAGCACTGCCCTCTTGCTCTTTGAATACTTTCTTAGATCTGTCGCTCTGTCCTGATTTAGAGAGATTACTTTTACTTTCTCCTGCTAGGTTGAGCTCTGCAAGCCTGCTTTGTCTGCCTCACGGCTTTGATCTCCCTGTTTCATAAAATGGATAAATATGTGCTTTCGGGCTGGCCTTTCCTCCTGCTGTTGGTCCTCGCTGCTCTTCGAAGGCAGGCATCCTACTTCTAAAAACACCAGGTCCTATTTTGGTCTTGACATGAAAAAAAAAACACCTAAATGTAGGAAGCAAAAGGATTTGGTTGCTAGGCAGAAGTGAGGCAAAAATGATTGGCGTCACCAACTGTATCCAGTCCCTTTCAATCTTACTTCATGAAGTGATTTACATAGACCAAAGGCATTCTGGGGACTGAAATAATTGCCTCATCACTGGTCTATCTGGATCCTTTGTAATTGTTTTCTAACTGGAACTCCTAAATTTTTTGGCAACTAGGGGAATATTTTGTTGTTTTCTGCTGTTCAGTCATTTTCAGTCATGTCTGATTCTTCATGACACCATTTGGGGTTTTCTTATCAGAGATGCTGGAATAGTTTGCCATTTTTTTCACCTCATTTTACAGATGAGGAAACTGAGGCAAACGGGGTTAAGTGACTCGCCTAGGGTTACAAAGCTAGTAAGTATCTGAGGCAGGATTTGAACCCAGAAAGATGAGTCCTCTTGACTACAGGCCTGGCACTCTATCTGCTGCCGTGCCACCTAGCTGCCTAGGGAAATATGGAAGAAATCAAAAGGAATTTTCTGACCATTATTCAAATAAGAGATTAGTGGGAGTCTGAGTAGCAGCAGAGGAGCTGAGTCCAAAAGGCAGACTTAAATGCTTAAGAGCATTTCTTTTTTTAATTTATTTTCTTTCTTTCTTTTTAGGAAATTGGAGTTAAGTGACTTGCCCAGGGTAATATAGCTAGTAAGTGTCAAGTGTTTGGTCTAAAGCCGGATTTGAACTCAGGTCCTCCTGACTCCAGGGCCGGTACTCTATCCACTGAGTCACCTAGCTGCCCCCATAAGAGCATTTCTGATCGCTGGTTGTGTGCATCCATCAGGATTTAAAAAAGGCTAAAATTGTCCTTGGGACCATGAGCAAAAATAGCTGCTAGACCCCTGCTGATTGAGAGGGAGATCACACATTAGCTGAAGACCAGCAGATGGCAGCAGAGAATAGCTCAGTGGAGATTCCCCACTATAGAGTTGTAGAGACACCAAATAAGCAGATAAAGGAAGTCCAAGAAAGAAGAGAAGGGGTCTAGCTGGGGCATCACCATAAAAGCTCGAGTTGATCTGGTTGCATGTGTTCTCTCTCCCTTTGATGGTATGGTAACTTGTGGGAGAGTAATAGAAGCAGTCTTTCCTGTCACTTATTTTACTATATCATTTAATTAAATCTCTTGAGTTAAATGTATGCCACAGTGGAGAAATTCAAGAGGATTCAGGATCAATACTCGACCCTTACCCACCTGTATCACCTCGAGCAATGCACAATCTCTATGGGCTTCAGGTTCCTGTTAAAAAAAAAAAGGCACATATGTGGTGCAGTGGATTGAGGGCTGGTCCTGGAGTCAGAAGTCCTGAGTTCCAATCTAGCCTCAGACACTTGCTAGCTGTGTGACCCTGGGCAAATCATTTTACCTCTGCCTCAGGTTCCTCAACTGTAAAACGGGCATCATAATAGTACATACCTCCCAGGGTTGTTGCAAGGAACAAAAGAGATAACATTTGTAAAACATCTAGTAGTGCTGGGACACTATATTCTAGGCACTTAATAAATGTTTATTTCCTTCCTTCCTTCTAAAAAATAAGGAGTTTGAACTAGATAACCTCTGAATTTCTTACTGCTTTAGATTAAGGGTTGATGACATTTTTTTGTGTGTGCCATGGACCCCATTGGCAGTTGCCTGATAAAACCTATGGACCCCATATCAGAATTTTTTTTCTACTTAACAGTATTCTATTTTTTTCAATTAT